TCGGGGGTGGGGGGTGGGGGGTGGGGGTGAGAAGGGAGCGGAGCTCGTCGGCGCAACGTCGAGAGAAAATAATAGCGAACGGCGGGGGGATAGGAGCGTGGCCCGTAGGTGGAAAAAGAAGGGAGACGGTACACGCGCGAATAAAAATGAAACCGAGTCCGAGGAAGGGTGGCGAAAGAGAAGAAAGAACCCGCCGGAGACAAAAGGACGCGAGGACGCGAGCGAACGCGGACCCGAGGCTGGAAACGGATGCCGACGAAACGCGCGTGTACAAGAAAACAAAGTTCCGGGACTCGTCGGCGCGGCGAAAGGGACCCTGAGAAAATCTCGAAGGAACGGAACAAGGTTCCGCGTCGAGATCGTCGACGGACGAATTCTTCGACGTTCGTAAATAGCTGCGCGCGTTTAGAGCACAGCGTCGAGCAAACGTTTGGACGTTGCTGGCATTTTCTGGACGTTCCAAACGCCGTAAGTCACAGAATATACGTACACGGGATACGTTCGCAGGACACTTGTAGCGCGACCGAGTATACCGACGCTCTTCCTCGACGGCAGAGCAGCGACTCTCTCTCTCTCTCTCTCTCTTTCATAAATATTTTTAAACGGTTCTCGAGGTTATCGATTTCGCAGCGGCGCGACGCGAGGCGACGCGACCCGCGCAATTTTTCGAGCACCGATGGAAAATCGTGCGCGCGAAACGGATATCGCGATCGTGCTTTCGCGACCTTCGCCAAACGAGGCAGCGTTTCGAGAGAGATTCGCGGAATCGAATGCCGCTCGCGCCCAACGGTTCGACTCGACCGATCGTTCGGACGAATCGAGACGTTGTCGCGGTTTCCCGGAGCGTCCGGTTAACGATCGAAGCGAAGCGTGATCCTCGTCCTCGCGTCGATCTCGCGATCGCGACGAAACGTCCACGGTGGACGATGAGTCGCGGCCACGCGTACGAAATACGAAATTTCAGGATGCGAGATAAAAAAGCGTGTACCCGTTCGTAAAAATGACCGTTGCGCTCGGCCGAGATCGCCGAGACTTTTGCCGCGACCCTCCGTGGAACAGCTTCTGCCAAGTTTGAGGCCAGCTCGAACCGAAGCGGAAGACCGCGCGCCGTCTCGAAGGCGGATCGTCGACGAGACCTCGAACGAAGGATGCCGGAAGAAACGGTCCCGACCGAGCACAGTCGTCGTCCGGGTCGACGATTCCGCAGGGCTCGCGACGGCGACGGCGACGACGACGGCGACCGCGTTCTCGCAGCAGGTTCGGTTTGCCAGGAGAATCAAGGCCGCCGCGCCGCGGGGAGCGACGGGAGTCTGCCCCGAGAAGAATCTCGGACGGATCGAGCGCGTTCGAGGGAGGCTATCGAGGGTCGATCGGGGAACGGGGCGTCGGACGGTCCTCGATCCGCCGGCAAACCGAAATCCGACGAAGCGGCCTCGGGGCCGCGTCGCGAACGCGAGCCCGGAAACCTCGCCCAGCTCGGGACTTTGGAAGGGCCGCGTTTCGTTCCGGTTCGAAATTCAAAGTTCGAAGTTTCCTCGGGTCGGAGAGTCCGCTGGCGCCGTCGCGCCGGCGAGTTCGCTGGGTCGGAGAGAGATAGCGTCGTTGGTCCTCGGGGACGGACTCACGTTTCTCATCTCGCAGCGGATGGCAGGTGCTCGCGCGCGGCTGTCCGACGATCGCACGGTCGTTGCACCGACGGTGCCCACCGTTCTGCGTCCAGCGTTCGGTAGGTCCAAGGCGACGGCGACGAGGATGCTGCTGCGACCGAGAGGGACGCGCCTGGCCAGAAAAGCGGCGACGTGGTCGTCGTCGTCGTCGTCGTCGTCGTCGTCGTCGTCGATCGAACGCGACGATGCTCCTCTCCTCGGTGAGGGTAGAACAACGTCGCGGAGTTGCGAAGCAACACGGAATGGCGATCACTCGGCGCGATCGCGAAGCACACGCGAGCCACGAGCATCGCCCCAGCTCGGCACCAAGCTCACGACTGCCTCTCTCCGCTCTCTGCTTCTGGTCCGAGGTCCTAGCTGGGGTTGCTTCGACGTCGACGAGAGTTCACCGGTTCAATCGGTGGCTAGGGGTGGCTCGACACGGGAGGGGGATGCGCCGCTTCGACGAACGCGGCGCCGTCTGCCGGGAGGCGAACCAGTCGACGGACCGCGCGAGGGCGCAAGCTCGCGGTTTCACGGTTTCAGGAGTTTACGATTTTAGGTCCTTTCGGCCGACGCGCGACGGTTTTCCGTCGCAAGATCCGTCCGACGGGGTTGCGACGCGGGGAGAAAGCGCGGAGTCCGACCTCTACCGACTCGATCGTTTTCGAACTCCGACGCGACGAACGGAAGCCGAACGACGATAATACGCGTTCCTCCTCTTTCCGAATCGAAGATCGTTCGGGGATACTCTCGAACCGTCGCGATATTAGAAAATTTCTCGAAAAACTCTGCAACTCGATCGTAGAGATTAAAACGCACGGATCGCGTTGCGGACTGTTCGATGCGGCAACTTTCGAATTCTCCTACCCGCGGCGACGTTCGATTCCGCCTCGCGATAAGAACCGTCGATCGCGGTCGGACACGCGACGCTGTCGCCGTATCTCGGAATTAAAACTGCGACGCGACAGCCGATACGCGACTAACCCGGGAAATATGCGTGCGCGTATCTTCCCGATCGCACCCGCAACCCCGTTTTCAGTCGATAAACGTCCTCCCGGTTTGGTCGGTTGCCGTCGAAACGACGCTCGATTACCGGACCGTATTGCTCGCGTCGACTCGCGTCGTCGTTAAAATATGGAATCGAGGAGATCCTAGAGTACCTCGACGCCCGAATCTTTGAAAGGAAGGAAGCTCGACCTCGCGAAGAAATCATTCCGAGCGTCGCTAACGAAAACACCTTGGCGCGCGGAACGTCGCAGCCGGGAGAAGGCCCACTCGTTCCGCCCCAGCTGCGCCACGAATGCTCGAGCGAAGGACGATGAATCGAGCATCGCGTAATTCCCGAGATGTTCGAAATTGGCCGTGCTCGGATGCGGTGGCCACGCGGTCGCGCGGTCGCGCGGCCGGGCCAGACCAGGCCAGGAATCGAGTCGCGACTCGATCGAGTCTCTACAGGCATGCACGTACGAATTCCTCGAGTTCGCCGGAGGTTCTGACGTAAACCGACGACCTTGAGCCAGTTTAGCTCGTGCAGGATATCGGGCGCGCGTGGCTAGCCTCCGCGGTTTCCTCGAGGAAGCTTCTGCCCTTATCGCGCGATCGATCGCGAGCCCGAAGGGGCTGGCCCCTCGACCGAGCGATCGCACCCCGGTCGAAGCCTCCGTCTTGCCATCGAGGCGAAAACACGGTGCACCTACCTGGACTGCCGGGCTCCGCACTCGGGGGTATTTGCACCCTCGCCGAACTGGATCAACAGGTTCGCGTGCCGGATTCGCTGGCGTACCGGAAGTCGTCAACGGGAGCCACGCGGACGGCGGCGGTTTCCGAATCGCGCGAGAACGATCCGATCTTCCCCTTCTCGCTCGAGATAAGCGATCCGGAGTTGGCTCTGCTGGGCTGGATAAACGATGATCAAGGTCGGACGATGGCAGGATCTCGAGGAACGGCGATCCGATGGAGAACGAACGGAGATCGGCTCGAGGAGGGTGTCGCGCGTAGGTAAAAATGAGAGAAACCTGGTCGAGGGAGAACTCGTTGCAGCTAGGTTTGGAAAATCTATACAGAGAGAGAGAGAGAGAGAGAGAGAGAGAGAGAGAGAGAGAGAGAGAGAGAGAAAGAGAGCGATTCCGATGCGTGCAAGAAATTGAATTTAATATACAGTTTCGCAGAATTCTTAGGTCGTGCGAAAGATAGATGGGATCGTTCTATCGTCGTAGAACTTCTGGATGGAACGTTGGAGAGCATCGTTTCGATCGATAGGGTTGACGATTCCGATGACTCGTTAGGCGCGAGTTGCTTACGAAAACTCGTTAAACCAGTTTCGGAGAAGCAACGATGGCTCGGAGAATGGTTTCGATAGGAGAAATCGAGCTCGGTGCGGCTTCGCAGAGACGCGCGTTCGCGCCGACAAGTTACGGGACGATTCTTGTGGAAATGGTAAACGACGATCGAACGAATAGGACTTTTGGTTGAATTTTAAAGCGATCCCGCGCGTTGCGATATCTAAATAACGATATGGTTATCGACGACACGACGGGTTAACGAAGATGCGAGGAGAAAAGAAAAAGTGTTGGCCAACCTCGACGCTTGGGGTGTCGAACGCGTAGGACCGTTTTCGACGTCGAAACGTTTCCGAGAGAGAAAGAGTGAGTGAGAGAGAGAAAGAGAGAGAGAGAGAGGGAGAGAGAGAGAGAGAGAGAGAGAGAGAGAGAGAAGGAATCGGACTCGGAAGGTTCGTTCCAGTTTTCAGGAAAACTACGTGCGTAACATCGTAGGCCATCTATTGACACCTTTATCGACTCGTATTACACACAACTTGCACGAACTTCGATGAAAGAATCGACGCGTACAAGAACAGATACAGCTACTTGGACGTTCGGGGAAAGGAAATCGGGGGTCGGTAGAGGTAAGTACAAAATTGCCTAAGCTAACGACGCGTCGAGGCGTCCGAAGCCCGAAGACCGTTTCGGCGACCGATCGCCACGGTCGGGTTCGAATTCCGTCGCTGTCGATCCTGCGCGTCCGCTTCGTTTCTCCTATTTCGCGAACGCGCATGCGAGTCCTTGTAAAAATATATGAACGCGCGTTCGCGCTCGTCGAAACGCGTGCCAGCTTCGACGTCGGAACGGGTACACGAGTATTCGAGAATTCGTACGTCCGCTCTTCGTCTCTCATCCATCCATCGTTCCGTCGTTCTTGCCAGAAACGTGGGCTCGATTTCGCTTTTTCCCGTATCGTCCGAAAGCCGAAACGAGGAATTTCCAATCATATATCACAGAACGGAATTTCTCCTGGCCGCGCGCGCGCGCCACTGGTCGCGCGGCTAGAAAAATGAATCACGGAATGGACGAATATGTGTGTGTGTGTGTGTGTGTGTGTATGTGTGCACAGTCGCTTCGAACGATCAGGTTTCCCTCGACCGGGTTTTCGTTTCTTTCGCGCGCGCTTCTCGATTGTTTTTTTTGTTGTTGTTCCGCGACGAATAGAGAAGCTCGAATAATTGACAATTTTTCGTTCGGGTCCGCTTGGTCCGGCCGATCGAAGCCGCGGCTACGAAACTAAACTTATGTACAAAAATCACAATAGACTCTCCTCGCGGCCGCTTTTCTCGTCGCTCTCGTCGGATCCACAAGGTACGATCTCTTCGTATTATGCATATGTATATTATATTAGCCTATATCTATATCTATGCGTTTACATCTATATCTATGCACGCGTATACGCGCACGCGTGCGCGCGCGTATACGTATATATATGTATAGATATACGGACGCGTATGTATAAATGTACGCGACTACGCTCGGAACTAAAGCTAAACAGCTACCTCTTATCGTCGCTCGTATCTTTGTTCGTTTCGCTTGTAGACGACGGACCTATGACTCACGCTCTAACACATATACTAGACTAAATTAGCCCGCGGTAATAACAAACGCGTCGAAGATCGAGTAGAGAGTACCGTGCGCGGGCAGGTAACGTTTGCGTCGTGATACGCGAGCCTGTGCAACCGGTGAGTAGAAAAAGAACGAAGAGAGAGAGAGAGAGAGAAAAGATAGATCGAGATGATTTCTCGGTGCCCGAACAGCTTCGGGGTACGCACCGGCGTGTTATCGCTAGAGAAATTCGAAAGAAAAAAACGAAACGTCCGTACTGTCATGGTTAGCAAAACGCCGCGCGTCGACGCATCGACGTCACGACGCGTCGACGCGTCGTCGAGTCGAGATTCTGTATCGTGTGTATTCACCGTAGGTTGGGCCCGTTCTCCGGGCCTCCGCTAGGCGGACGCGGCACTACCGCTTGTGGCAGTGGCTGCTCTTGCTCTTGGGGCTGTCCGTGGCAACGTCGTTGGGCTCTCTTCTAGGCCGTAGAATGAAGTTGAGGTTGTGCGCGGTGTTGACGGCGTAGTAAACGTTCGCCGAGTTCGGCAAGACCATCTCCCTGTCGGGCAGCACCTGGGCGAGGGTGTACCGGTCCGGGCTGCCCTCGATCCCCAGCTTGAGCATCGCGTTTCGGATCACCTGCGGCGTCCTCTCGTTGTTCGACAGCATGATGGATTTGTACAGCACCACCCCGTCGGTCTCGACGTTGTCGGTCTCCATGGTCACCTTGATGATGTAAAAGTCCGGCGAGCTCTTGTGCGAGTGGCTCGGGCTGGACAGCCCGACCAGGCTCGGCGCGTTCCCGTTCGCCGCGATCACCGGTGCCAGCCGATTCTGCTGAGGGCCGGCGGCGGCGGCGGTGGCGGCGGCAGCGGCCCCGTTGCCGCCGCCCGAGCTCAGGGACACGTCCAGCGAGGGCAGCGACGAACTGGAAGAGGAGCTGGACATCTGGGACGGCGACGTGCGTCGGTCGAGAGAGTTGTGCGGCGAGCTCGGCAGAGAATCCAGGTCGCAGTAGAACTGAGAGCTGCTGGAGCTCGACGTGGAGGCGATCGAGTCGTTTTTACGGTGTCCCTGGTGGGCCTGTAAAGCACACCGGACGGTCGCGTTAGAGAACGATTCGCGGGAAAGCGCGCCGATGCGACCGACCTGCTTCTTCTTGCCACGGTTGGTCAGGGTGTTGCCCGGAGGTGGCGGTTCTATCTGGCAGCTGAGCTTGTACGCCTCCCGATCGTCCAGCACCACCACCGAATGGAACCAACGATCGAACAGCGGATCCGTGCTGAAGTTGTACGCGTTCGCCGCACCCTGGAGCAATCTTATCCTGGCCAACACCTCGAACTCCTTCCGCCTCTTGTCGAAGTTGATCAGACCCTCGGCTATCGTGTCCGATATCGCGGTGTCGATCATCGTGAGATCCGTCAGGAAGGTGCCCAGATACGGTATCGTGCCGTAGCTGATGTTCTAGAGACGGTAGAAAGTTCGATCGGTTAGTTTCGCCGATTTTGGAATTTCGGAATTTCGGAATTTCGGAATTTCGGAATTTCGGAATTTCGGACCGCGATCGCGCGACAACGAAATTATTTGGAAAACGGAGGGCGGAAGATCGCGCGAGATCGTCGATGGGAGGCAGAGGAATTCGAACGATGCGACGCGTTCGAAGGTCCAAGTCCGGGTTCGAGGAGAAGAAACGTTCGCTTCCGGTCGACTCGGTAACGCGGGAGGAAAAGGTTCGAAAGGAATCGGTCGACTCACGCCGGCGTGGGTGTTCTGCTTCTGGAACAGCTTCTGCAGGTGTCTGTCGCTCCTGCCGGCGGTGTCGGCGAACTTGGCAGTGCCCTCTTTGATCAGCAACTCCCTCTGCGTCCACGCGTTGTTCTCCTCCGAGAATATCCTCTCCAGCTCCCTGAACAGCTCGTGCTTCTCCCTGGGCATGCACTGCCAGCACTTCTCCAGCCTGTAGACGGGGTTGCTCTGCAGCCCGGACACTATGGCCTTCAGGCTGCTGAAATTCTTGAGCACGCGCAGCTCTTGGGCAACGTCGATCCACGTCTCCAGGATTCTGGCGCGATCCTGGGACTTGACGCCCGGCTCCGTCAGAATCGTCGAGATCACCCGAAGCGAGACGGCGTTGAACTGGTTCACGGTCGCCAGCACGGTGGCGGCGTCGTGGCTCCTCGAACGGTCCCTCCTCGACCAGACGGCGCCGAGACACTGGTGGGCCACCAGCTTCTTGAACACCTCCGCGTCCATGCGGGTCAGCTGCTCGGCGAAATGCCGATGCGGCACTTCGGGAAAGCTGTAGCTCCGCCAGTGGTCCACGATCGGCTCCGGAGACCCTCGCGGAAGCCGACCGTTGTCGTACACCATGCAGGAATCTGCGCAAATCGCGCGATCGTTAGTCCGACGACTCGCCGGGATAATCGGAAAACGCGAAATCGCGAAATCGCGAAATCGCGAAATCGCGAAATCGCGACGCGTTCGCGTCGAAAGATAAGACTTGTCGCGTACGCGCGCGTATCGTTGGCCGGCTCGCGGCTTTTGGCTTTCGGCTTTCGGCTTTCGGCTTTCGACCGGCGCGCGCGGCTTACCTATTTGATCCTCGCGCTGGAATCTGTGCAGCCGATGCCTTGCCTTGAGCTCGAGCTCCGAGCCAGGAAGCCGTTGGTGCGTAAATTCCAAAAGCCTGGTCAGCAGGGGATGATTCGGCGGCGATTTCCAATCACCGGGATACGCGTCCAACCAGACGTGAAGCGCCTGCACGAGGGTCTTGCGGTGCTGTTCGCCCGTCAGGGCGCCGGATCCCTCGTCGAGGGCGTCGTACCTCGCCAACAATAGCTCGAGAACCTCTCGGGGCGTTGTGAACGCGCGATACGTCGCCAAGAAAACATTGATGTACGTCGACTCGAGTTCCCCGTCGTCGTTCGCCAGACTCTCGACCAGACGCTGCACGGTGCCGGCTTTCAGGAAACGAACCCTCACCGTCTCCCATTCCAGGTGCGAGATTTCGTCGTCCGAATCCTGCCGCAACGTCACGGACATTAGCATCGGGAGAAATCGAATTGTACCAGAATTTTTCGTCGGCGACGATAATCCGGAAAGCTCGAACATCGTCGCGGAAGCGCTTCCGGGATTCGTTGGACGATGGGAACGATCGACGACCGAACGAACCGCTCCGTTCGTTCTTATCGTTATATTCGCGTTACTCGCGCGCGTCGAAGCTGGCCGACGCGAGCGACGCGTTCGTATCGTACGATGGAACGAGATATCTCGGTTTCCTTCGTTTAACCGGGTTAAGTTCGAGTTAGCGACCGCGCGAACGGTTCGACGCGAGCCGAACCTCTTCGTTGGATCGGATAGTCGCGGGTTAAACGTCTTTCTACGATAATTCGCGCACGGTGCTTCTTCGAACGACTCGAACGACTCGAACGAAACGAAGTAAAATCGAGCCGGATTCGAAACAAGCGAATTCGTCGCGCGATTTGCCAAAGGCGGAAAATGAAGAGAAAAAGAAAGCTCCGTCGATTTCGGTTCGTCGAAAAATCGCGATAATATGAAATTACGATTTAAATCGGCCGTTGCAACCGCGCACGGCGAACGGAACTCGACGAGGCGAACAGGCAGGTATCGAGAACTTACCGATGCGGAGAGACTTCTGGTCGGCCTGTGATATCGGACTTTCTTCAGGTACACCGTGTATATGACGCCGTCGCCCCTTTCTTCGCCCCATAAGCGCCACGTGGGCTGCAAATCAGAAAAGAAAACGACGATGTTAGAACGCGTAGGTATCGAAGACGCGATTCGCGACAGGAAAACTGCCGGCTCGACTCGACGACCGGCAAAAACGTCGCGCGCCGCGGGACGATTCGCGCCGCCAATTTCACGGACTGCACCCTATCGCGAGCAGTCGTCTCTCCGATAGGGGGACGAGCCGATCAACGGACGGCGCGCACTCGGCGGATTTATTGAAATAATTGACTCCCGGCTCGAAATTGACCTCGGCCGTCCGTTTCACGGCTCGACTCGCGATTAGCCGGATGGGACGCTTCGTCTTCCTGCCACGGCCTCCTGGAAACTTGGCTCGAGTCGTCCTCTCTCGGTCGTCTCCGCCCCTTTTCCATCGTCGCGCGTACATAGCTCGTTGCTCGATTTTTGCCGCAACGTGTCGGATTCGGACGATACGATTTTTCCGCGCAACGAATCCTTGTTCCGACTTTTGTCTTCGAAACTCGGACGATCCGAGTCTCTGTTTCACTCGTTTCCTCCATTTTACGCGTCGACGAAGATTTATTCGAGCATCGCGATCGACCGTATATCGGTCGACGAACCGAGGACTCGCGCGAAAAAAAAAGTATCTTTATCGTCGCGAGTCCCGCGATTCGACGCGGGGGGACCGCCGTCGCCGCTTTCAACGGAAAAAAGACGACGCTCGAGCCGTTTTCGAAAGCGCGCTCGCGGTTTCGAGCACGGCGCCGCGCGTAGCTTCCTCGAACGTTCGCGAGCGTTTCCGAGCGCGCGGTGCTCGCCGTCCTTCCTTTCTCGTTTCCTCGAGCACGCGGAAAAGAGAGCGCCGCGCCGCGCCGCGCCGGGACGGCGAGGGTACAAAAAAAGTACGAGCACGAAATCGTCTAGAAGCCGACGCTTCCAGGCTCGGAGCCCGCGCACGGTTTTCCGTTTCGCTGGCCGGCGATATTACGACGAACGAATCGTCGAACCGCGATCGCAACCGTAATTTGCTCGAGTGGAACGCGAGTTTCGCGACGCGACATTTCGGGCCACTCGGTTTTAAGAACGACGAAAACCTATTTAATTGCGAGAAAGTGTAAACTCGATGAACCGTAACGATTCCGATCGATCGAGTTCGAACGAGCCGAACCGGAGTACGGAGCCACCGCTTCGAAATCGCCGTCGCGCTTTTATCGGACCGCTCCGACCGTCGCCGCGAAAGCAACGAACCGTTTCGTCTCGAGCAAGATGCGAACCGCGAGGCCGACCGTCGCCGGCTCGTTCGCGCGCGTTAAATTTAGAAACACCGGCAGCGCCGATTATGTCCTCAAAAATCATGGGAATAAATTGGAGGGGGATCGCGGAGGGAAACCGGGATACCGGCTAAAAATAGCGTTCCCGGTCGGGCGCGCACCGGCGCGCGAATCTCCGTCTTTTATTTCGACCTTTTATTTCGCTAAAAACGAACTCGACGCGCCTCTCTAGCCGTGTACCAACCGACCCGCGCGGGCAACGCCGCCAACGAGGGTCGTAACGTCGCCTCGAAAATCCCCACGGGATTCCGGGCGGCCCGTTCGAAAAGAGCAACGTCGACGACGCGGCGAGCGTACGCTCGCTCGGCAATGGGACTGCCACCGGACTGCGTCTGCGACCGTGACCGGGACACCAGCCGCATTCGAGAAAAATGGAGAGATCGCTAAACTCTGTGCAACTCGAAAAAGCCGACTCGCGTTTACGCTCGCGCTCGCGCTCACGCTCGCGCTCCGGAACGAACCGGCAATTAGAGAGAAGCGGAGAGAACCTGAGCGTGACTTTAAGGTCCTCGTACTCCCTCGTCCTTGGAGACGGCTCTCCGCGGAACGCGTCGACTCGCCATTGTTCTCGCAGGCCTCGCCGCCGGGCGAATAAAAATCCGTCGGCCGAGTCTCCGTTCTCCGATACTCTGATCGCGATCGAAATCGTTCGTCCCACGCATCCCTGGAGGCCGTATAATTTTTCGCGAACGGTCGGATTCCCCTTTCGCGACGGTGACGCGAGGGAAAACGCGCGGAAACGCGCGTGGAAAAATACGGTGGAAAACATCGAATTTACGAGGCACCCGAGAAATTGATATTTTACCTTGGAAGTCGTGGAATCGCAGCGACGGAGAAACGAACGGTTTCGCGTCGTTAAATTTCGCATTTCGACCATCGAGAGACGGGGGCGCGGGCCCGGTCGTAGACGATTCGACGATACCGATACCGGTCGCGAGTAAGATGGGCTAAATAACCGAAACCGACGTGTGTACAAACTGGCATCGCCTCTATCGTTCCACGTCAGCCTATGAAAAGCTTAACACCGGATTACAGGGGAGTCCCGCGCGTCGCGTCCCGTCGATCGATTCGCTCGGAAATACGTCCGACTATCGACCTCGCGACCGGTGCGCTCGCACCCCGACGTCCGCCACCGCCGTCGCGGATATCTACCGTCGCGAGAACGCGTCCGCGAACCGGCGAACGAAGCTGGTCGTCGCGCGACCGTCGATTCCTCGAATCGGATAGATGGAAAAATTCCTGTAATTACGAGCGAATCGATCGCAGCGCATCGAACGCTTGGAATCGCGCGGCTGCATCCTCGCGTTGCGAAACCAATTTCGCGTCGTTGCGCAGAGCCGCGCAGCGCCGCGCCGCGCCGCGACAGGTGGGGTTCTTTCGATAAACGATTTACAGGTTGCCGACTATTTTGTAAACATCGTTGGCCACGAGCCACCACGGTATACCCGCGCGTCTCGCGGTCGGCGCGTCCGAGTTGCCGCGAGAACAAAGGAATTTTCTTTGCCTCGATCGACGAGCGCTCGGCAGCCTATCGGACCGCGCTCGGCTTCCGGTCGGGCAACGCCGGTAATTACACGGGTCCGTGAGCCGCGAGCCGCGAGTCGCGAGTCGTAATCCGAGTACGCAAAGTACGATTCCCGGATAAGCGATCGAACGCAACGTTGCACCCCGCGTTGCTCTTCGACGTAGCGAGGGCGAGGGCGAAAACTGGAGGAAGCTTCGTCGAACTCGAAAAGTAGAAACGCGATAAAAAATTGAGATTCGGACGGACTCGTTTCGCATAGGAGAGAGCCCGAGGTCGAGTCAACGAATAACGTGTACGAACGAGAAAACGCTCGACCGCGACGAGGAGCATAGGAGTCGACGGTTTAATCCAATCGAGCCTGTTACGGATCGAATCGGGTAGTTAGCTAATTGAAATACTCGAGTTTTATAAGCCCGTGTTTAAAAAGAGATAATCGTTCGGTGAATCGTGTTTCATTGAATGGAACGCTTCTTTCGACTCGGCGGAGTTGAATGCACCGAGAAATAAATCCGGAGCGTACACGGCTCGGCCCGCGTTCGCGTCTCGATCGCGCGAAATTGCTGGCACGGTAACGCGTCGCGCCGTTGCAGAAACATCGAACGACGCCGATAAATCGAAAACTCTCGGTTCGAAACGGCTCCGACGTTCGTCGAGTCTCGTAATTGTTCTCTCGCCGTCGACGACCGATCGTTGTTGCGAAAGGGGGCCACCAAGTGGGTCAACGTAACCATATTTCAGTTTTTTATTCGCAAGTTCCCGTATCTCCGACGCGACGAAGACACGCTCCCCCGATGACACTCTGACCCTGATTAACCGATTAAACGACTTCCACGTGCCCCGCGATCGCGACTCCCGCGATCGAGACTCGTCGTCGCGAACGGCCGACTCTCTCGGTCGACCCGAAGATAAGAAGTTGGTGGAAAATATTTAGCCGACAGAACCACCGGGGCAAATATTTCGGCGAGATCGGATAACTGCCACGGATAAATGCCACGGATAAATGCCACGAATCTAAACGATTCGGACCGAGCGGCGATTTCGCCGGATCGGCGACACATTTCTCTCGTGTACCGCGAAAGTATTACGATCGTCGAAGCACGCGAAGAAAAGAAACGGGCGCGACACACTTACCCGTGCGTAGAAGCGACCGAAACGAATTCTGAGCGGGAAAGCGGCAGGCGACAGCGACTCGCCCTGCTACCGATAGCTTATCGAGACCGTCGTAACAACGTCGTTTCGTCGAGAATATCGACGCGTTTATCGAGGATCGCGGATCGCTCGAGAACCGCGGCGCCTTATCTTCGCCGAGAAGTCCTCGCCTATCGGGTGCACGACTTCGCGCATCGCCGGCGACGTTCGTCGTTCCATCGGATTCTCCGATTCCTGGTGGCTGGACAACAGTTTTCCGGATAGCGCGGCTACCGGTATCTTCGATGGACGATCGACGAATCGGCGATCGAAGGTCGAGTCGAGGTGTCGGAGAAATCGACGGAAAAGCCGAAGAGTACGAAGGCGAGCCGCGATCGGGTTTTATCCGAGGTCCCGATGCGGAGGAAAGTTTCGAAAATTCCTAAAGGAAAGATCTATCTCTGTTCGCGGTGCCGCAACGATTGCGAAGCGGTCGAGGAGCGCGGACAGGCTGCGCGATTGCACGGTTCCGACGCTTTCCAACCGAGCGAGTCGGGTTTCGTTTCCACTTTAGGGATTCGACGCGTACCGCTGTGGACTGAAAATTGGAAACTAAAAACACAAGAGCGCATGCAACAACGTGTCGAACACCAATGTCGTGCATACCGATACGGATCGCGATGCTCGCTAACGCTGGCTACTCGCATCGAGCGCGATGCGAAGTTGTTCGGAGAACGCACCGCAACACGGGCGAGTAACGCGAACAGAAGCGAACAGAAGCGAACAGAAGCGAACAGAAGCGAACAGAAGCGAACAGAAGAGAACCGCGTAGACCGAACCAAGAAGAGAGACGCAAAAGATGCGAACAAGGCAAACGAGGCAAACGATAAAATAACGGGAAGAACGGGAAAACGGAAAAACGCGGAAAGAACGGAAAATCCGAAAGACGGAGAGAAGAAGAGCACTCGAACACGGAAACAAAACTGGATGATGATGAATCTGTTGCGAGTCTGTTTACCTGCTGCACGTACCACTGCGTGGAATTCTGGTTCTTCCGGTGGCTGGTGGGCTTGCAGGGGCCGCAGAGAAGCAGTGGCGCCAGTTTGTTAACCCCCTTGACGGTGGCCGCCGCCGGGGGCGACGCTGGGCTCAGCCCGTCATCCCCCAACACGGGCCACAGCATCCACGTCCGAATGTCCGCGGAACTCGCCCTTCTTCCGTCGCTTCGATTCTGCCTGCGCAATCGATCTCGTCATTTTCCCGACGACGTCGCAATCTACGGACGCCGCGTCCACCTTCGTCCGTCTTTCCTATCCTCGATACCCGCGCTTCTAGCCGTTGCATCGCGCGACGCGAACGCGACGAGACGAATTTTCTATCCGTTTCTCCGTTTCTCCGTTTCCCATTGTTTCCTCGAGGCTCCCACGTGCTCAGGGCCACGCGACGTCGGTCGGTACGCGGTCGGTAGTTGGCAGTTATCGAGCGAGGGAACGAAACGCGACGGTCGAACGCGATTACGCGCGTATCGTACGTGTCCCGCGTTCGCGTTCCTCGGTACCCGGTACTCGGTGCTCGGAGTCGGTGCGTTTATCGCGTCGTCGCGTTGTCGTCTTATCGGTTGTAAACCGATCGATGATCGCGGGTCGAGCCCCGCGGAGCTCGAGTCGCCCGAGTCGCCCGAGTCGCGCGAGTCCATCGCCGACGAGAAACCGAGTTATCTTCGTCGTATACGGAAAAATGCGCCTCGCCGTTCCGCGATCGACCGACGATAGCTTCCTCCACCTTTTATCGTTTGGAGTACCGCGCCTCCTCGTTTCCGCCATCGAGCTGTTTCGTTTTCGCAACGATTCCGTATCGCCGGCGACGTTCGATCGTGAGATTTTTATCGAAATATCGCGCGCGATATACGCCGTGCAAGCTCCGATATTTAATTTTAAAAGGCGCCTCCAGAGATCGGCGCTCCGATCAATTCCGCTTGGACCAAGATACGCTCGCGTCGTTGAAACGATCGTTCCACTCGTCTCCTCGATTTCAGCTGCGATCGAAGAAAGAGAACACGGGCTTGCCGGTCCGCGGTTCGCGGACGCGATCGATTCCGTCGTAGGTCGGGCGTACGACGCGTTCGAAAAGGTCGAAGGAGCAACCGCCGGAAAACGCTTTCGCTAAAGAGGATGCGACAGCTCCGTAGGCGGGATTGCACTTCCGACGATTAGAACCGGCGCGGAGCGGCGCTCGAAATGCGGGTTTCGTTGAAATGTCAGGTACGCGGCCCTGTGACTTTTAACGGACGGACCGACCGATCGACCGGCTGATTCCTCGAACGAAGCGAAACGACTCGAGTGGAAACTAATAACCGAATAAACGAATAAACGAATAAACGAATAAACGAACGATCGAACCTTCGAAGAGATCGAATACCCGGATACAATGGTCGCGATAAACGATTTCACGTATTTACCGTTCAAGTATTGGCCGAAGTGGTCGAATCGCATCGGTTTTCTTTCGCGTCGCAACGTTGTTTGAAATTATTGCGACCTCGGAACGAAAATAAGTCGTATTCCTCGGTGAACACGCGAGACGGAGAATCCTAGAACGTGGGAGAGCGGCTGAATGGAGTCCCCACGACGCGACTCGATAAAAGTGTCGATGCCCGTCGACGCCTCGTTCCGATAAAACGAACGCCCCGTCACCGCTTGCCACGAGAACGCGCGTCAAGCGTCAAGCGTCGTGCGTCGTGCGTCGCGCGTCGTGCGTCGCGCGTCGTGCGTCACTCGGTCGTATTCGTATTTGTATTCGTACGTCTCGACGTCGCAACCTTAACCCTTCCCGATGCAACGATTCGGGTACCCGGGTACGCGACGCGACGGTCGTCTCAAAATTTGAAAGTTCAAAATACGCGTTTAGCAATATTTAGCAACGCGGAAGCGCGCGCTTCGTAGAAATTCGAAGCGGGAGAAAGAGAGAGAGAGAGAGAGAGAGAGAGAGAGAGAGAGAGAGAGCTCTCGTCGATCAGCAAAGACCGTTCGATCGTATGGAAATCGCGAGCACAATGGGATCTCCGATCTCCGATCTCGGATCTCGGATATCGGATCTCGAGTCTCGCGCGCGATATCCGTGCTCGACGGCGAAACCGCGCGCGAGCAAACCGAACGGATTACGCAACGCAGCGATTGTCCATAAAGGGATCCAGTGGACCAGACCGCGGCAGGAAGTAGGTACGATTTAAGCTGGCTGCGCGTTTCGCGCGAGCATGATTCATTTCGAGGCTCGAATGACTCGGCCGTTGCGTTATTTTCTCATTTAACGCGCCGTCGGTGGAAGCCTCGCGAACCGCGAGAACCTTGACGAAGTTCCGTTCGATCCGTTTCGACGGTTACCGAACGTTAGCCGAGAGATCTCGATTCTCCGTCGGACGACGAAACGTCGACACGAGTCGATCGAAATTCGAACCGATTTGGATTCGACCGATCGAATCGACGATCTTTCCTTTACAATTTCGATCGAGAAACTACGCGTACCGCGTTGCGGTCGCCATCGACGCGGTCGAACGAAATCTACGTTGCGAATCGGTCCGTCGCGCGTCCTTGTCTGGAAAAATTCCCGATTCTCGAATCTCGAATCTCGACTCTCCGCCAATTGCGCGCTTCCTATCTGGAACAAACGCGTCGCGACGGCGTAGCTAGGTTCTCCGGCGGCGACTCCCTGGGAAGAGTGACACAGCCTGACGCGATAAACGCGCAATACGAGGTCACGGTGTCGATGCGTCGTCGAGTCGCGTCGCGTCGCGTCGCGTCGCGTCGCGTCGCGTCGAATTTTGAAAGCGTTCGAATTTCGAAGGGGTTCGGAGGAGCTCGAAAGTTTTACGCGGCAAAGCCAACGCGCGCGTTGTTTCGCATCGAGAATTCGAGCCGATCCAGCCGCATCGAGTCAAATTCGATCTGCGACGGATACGGTCCAATTGACCTTGGCTCGAGAAATTCCAAGGAGTCCGCGAGACTCCGCCTCGCGGACGAGGGTCAACTGTCCGTAATTATTCGAACGATTTCATGCGTTCAACGGATAAGACGTTGCTCTTCGAAAGGCGAGTATTCTCGGTACGAATTACGATACGCGAACGAAGAATTCGCGTCTTTTCTAATCGTCGGGGGAGGCGAAAACGTTCGGGGGAGACGGGAAATGCCGTAAAACCCGAGCGTGGCTATAAATACGAGTCAATCGGTGGCCGACGAAGCTGGGAGAGGGAGGTCTACGGTAAACGATTTGCATACTCGATCCGGTCTCGAAAATACGACAACCTTGGCCCGTCGTTGCTCCTTTCCCGACGAAAATGCGAGCGGAACACGACGAATAGGAGGGACGAGGGGACCCGAGCGGATCCGGCGATCGGCGATCGTCGTAGGTCCCTCCGCGCGCAAGCCCGACCGAAACCACTCGTTCCAATTTATTCGATCCGGTCGATCCGCCGCGGGGACCCGGGAAACCGTCGCCGTCGCGCGTCCCGATTTTCCGGCGACCGACCGAATCGCCGACACGGTTTTCGCCGATCGAACCCGTTCGATCGTAGCCGCGACGTAGCTGCGACGCGAGCGTGACGCGGCACGGTTAGTCAGAGCCCGATGATGCGAACGCTTACGTCCGCGGTCGCGCGCGTGCAAATCGACCGGCGGTATCCTACGTAGATACGCGCGAACGCGCACACCACGTGCGACACGCGCGCTCGACGACCGAGCGTTCCGTTCTTGTTTCGTTCGCCGAGGCGTTCCAGGAACTCGCTGCTCTCGATACGCGATACGCGATACGCGATACGCGCGCGTGTCCTCGCAGTCCCTCGCTTTCCGTTCCTGCGAACAAGGTTCGCGATCTCGCGAAACGATTCGACGAACGGTTGTGGGACGTTGTCCGCGCGCCACCGTTCAAGCGGCGAACCGACCGAGGGGTCTGCGCGCAAGACCGTGAAACGTCGTCTCGAAATATAAACCCGACTCGTAACACCCTGCCGCCCGCGAGCAACGACGAGAACCGCGTCCGTTTCGCGCGCGAACGCGAAGCGTTCCGTCCACATTCTTTCGTCGTGACTAAGAAAATCTGTGTCAAGACTGTCGGCGAACGATCGTTCGCCGGTCAGCGATCGCGATCGGTAAACCGTTCGATCGTCGCGTTCGGTGGCGGCGGCGATCGAATTCGGGCAAAACGGAGCAGCTCGATGAGAACCGTGGCATTCTGGATTTTACGCGGCTACACCGAATCGACGTTGCGAACCGTAAACGTCGATAAGGAAATTTCGATCTCGTTGCACGGTTAACGTTCGATGCGCGTGCTAGAATTCTCGCGCCGGTCAGCGATTCGTTGGTTTATCGGCGAGACGATAACGCGCGTAAATATAGAAAGACGTTCGAACGTTCCTCGATCCATCGATCTTGAAAAATCGGCGAGGAAACGTTCTCCGTTTTCTCGTTGACGCGGTTCGCCGTCTCGACTCTCTCGTATTCGAAAGACGACGAACGAATTCGACGCGCTCGAGATCCTTCGGCGTAAAAGATAACCGATCCTGCGATCGAAACGCGAGCAACCCGGCAATCGACCCGTCGACGTCGACGCGTCCGTAGGTAGCGACGGCGATAACGATACACCGGACTGTCGTTCGCATTTCTTTGGGACAAAACTAGCAGGTGCGAACGAACGCGTCCTTGTCCAAAACCACGCTTTCCCTTTCGGTCTCTGTGAAAACGTTTCGAAGATCGAACTCCGAATTCGAATGATAGGACTGTGGTCGTGGAAGAAAAATCCGCGGCCCGACCGGTCTGAAATACTAAAAACCATCTCGAATAATGTTCAACCTTTGATCGAAACGAAGCTTGACGATTCTCGAAAGATCCTGGAGGCGCGACAGAATCCTGGGCAGGATCGGAGCATCGACACCTGCTCTCCCGGCACTTGGAATATCACGCTGGTCGACGCACACGGCACACGGCGGTCGGCACACGCGGGGCGGTAAACGATGTCGTCCGAGAACTCGCGGCCCAGGCACGGGGTACAAGCACCGGTACAGGTACGTCCGGACGATCGAAACCAGGTACAGGTGTGCGAGCCTCGCGGAACCGGACGAAGCGGCGAAGGACGAGAAAGGAGAGACGAGAGAGAGAGAGAGAGAGAGAGAGAGAGAGAGAGAGAAGAGGCGAGACGCGCGCGAGTCCTTCGAACCGCTCGCTGTGTCACCGAACCGCGCGGCTCGCCG